CGGTCAAAATCTGAGGTTCCTTTATCATGACCTTCGGTCAAATAAGGTTAAACAAGGTGAAACTCCAGCCTGGTCTCTCCAAGTTCCCTCAGAATATATATGTTCACACCTGTTCATACCTGGTGCCTAAAAATGTATCTCAGAGAGGAGTGGCTTCGTTTAACACTTCGTTGTTGCATCAGACGGGATGATTCCCTAGAAAATGACTTCACTGAATTAATGGGCTTACTTTGGCCTGCAGTAGGTCAGCGACCTTACATGGTGCATCTAATGTTTTATGCCAAGCGATCCACTATTTCAATGTCTGTGGGTATGCAAAACATGGCGCGGCTATGCAAAACTTGACGTGGCTACACCGCACCGTTTGGAAACCGTTCCGGAAAATCGTTGGGGGCGAATCTGACACCTGACCTGACTGTGTGTTAAGAACATCTTTTAGCACGGAGAAGATACAAATTCCTATTGTTAATTGGATACGTATAAAGTATATTCGTAACGAAAACACTACAAAGTCACATAGCCACAATTACATGTACGGTAGATACTGCTCACTATCTAATAACTTGAGAATTGTGAAAAAATTGCTTACGGCTGGGGAGAATTCGTTGATAAAGTACGTTTTCCTAAATTTCAATGCCTCTTCGGCCATTGTACGCCCGAAGAATGTCAGGGTTGCGTCAGTTGCTGTCGTGTCAATGTCCTGACATATTTGTGTCGTATGTATTGCAAAGGTGCACTGTCACGTAAGTGCATTGTCAGATCTTGTGAATGTCGTTGTGGTTACACCAATGTAGTGTATGGAACGAAGCTTGCAGCATGCGAGATTGCATTTGAATTGAAACACTATACTGGTGCATTTCAGCCTGTCGGGTATTCAGGGCTGCTTCTCATAAGAAAGTTGAGGGTTTTTCCGCTGCGATAATAAATGGTATGGTTTATTTGTGACTGTTCTTGTCTTTTACATGTCGAGAGATTGCTTCCCGTAGAGCGTTTTTGTCTTGCTTGTAAGCAGATGTCATTTACAATAATACAAAATACAGTGAGAAGGTTGATCGTTCGTCTTGTCCTGGTTTATTGTCAAACTGTCTCGTCATACGTCACTGCACTTCGTTTTCAACGTCAGAATTTGAAAAACCGTTGATCGCCGAGATGTTTCATTTGTGCCAATCCTGAATCTAATGCTGTCCAACCCCAACAATGTTTAAATGCACGTCTATGGAAGGACCTTATGATGTCAATTTTGTAGCGTCTAGGACGTTCACTGCTAGCATTTAAGCACCGTCCGTAGTAGTTAGTCTGCTTTCGGTACATAGCCGTTCTTAATCGTCAATGTCGATCAACAGTCACGACAAGAGAGGGTCTTACATTAGTTCACACACACACACACCACACACGCACGCACGCACGCACGCACGCACGCACGCACGCACGCACGCACGCACGCACGCACGCACGCACGCACCGCACGCACGCCGCACGCACGCACACACGCCCACACACACACACACACACACATATATATATATATATATATATATATATATATATATATATATATTTCCTCTCTCCCTCTCACTCCTCTCTCTCTCTCCTCTCTCTCTCTCTCTCTCTCTCTCTCTCTCTCTCTCTCTCTCTCTTTCTCTTCCACGTTCCCACACAGTTGGGACTTACTGACACACCTTTAGGTCCCATGGGTTTTCCCAGCATTTCCCCGCAGACTTCTGATGTGTCCGACCAATAGCGATGATTGCTCTGCAATCAGCGGAATCAACGCTCTGTAAACTAACGAGTTTCCAATGTAACCGTCACTCAGCACTCATCAAAAGAATTTCGAGCATTCTGACGGTCTATCTCCGCTGGGAACTCGCGGCGACCGAGGCAGTCACCGGGCAGCTGGATGACAGTCCCAACTCACAGTATCAGTGCGCGAGGCAATGCGCAGGTGAACATGGGCACAAGCGCGAGCTCCAGTCACGTTTTGTGAAAACCCATAGCTATATCTTGGAGATCGCATGGCATTTGAGTCTGTGCATGGTACGAGATATTGAGGCTGAAACACCAGGCGGAAGCTCTGCATCAAAATCAACATCAAAAGGCTTCAAGTTCCCGCATCATGCCAGGAGCAAACTGCCTATTAACAAAATACTCATCTATATTACAGCTGTTATCACCTTATACCCAGCGATGCCTGCATCTACTGATAAGAAGCGACACAACCGCCCAGGCAACCGGAAGGACTGAAAGTCTCCTTTTGAGAGGATCGAACCCGACCTCTCGCTTCAAACAGTCCGACGGTATCTGTATGGCCTGCACTCTCCGCCACGGCCACCAGCGGCTGCCGCCGCTCACCTGAAGGTGAAAGCACCTGGCCGGAGGTCGGTGAACATCTGCCGCGTACGGGGGTCACTCTCGCCCGACTGGGTAATAGGTGGCGTCCGCCGCTGGAGGAGCTCAGGCTCCGCTGCCAGCTGGGCACGCGGCGCCGCCCGCCCAGCGCCTCCTCCCTCGCCCGCCCCGGTCAAGCCTTCAGTCGCCGACACTGGCACACTGTCGAGCGAGGCTAACAGGCGAGCGCGCCGCTAATCAGCCCCGTTACGGCGTCCGACGGAAGCCGGAACAATGGGTGCTGAGCTTCAGCCAGCGGCAGGCCCTCAGGTGGCCGCGCGAGTCTGTATTTTTAGGCGGAGCGCGGCGGCGCTGGCGGCGCTGGGGCGCTGGATTTGGAGCGGCCGCTGGCGCGGCGCGGTACTCCGACAAAGGCGTAGGACGGCGCGGCCGAGCTGGCCACTTCAATCACGCGGGGTCTTAGAAGTCTCCGGAAAGGAGTCTAGAACTCAAAGTCAAAGTTCAAGTCAAAGTCCGAGAAGTCAAAGTCAGGGTCTGAGTCTCCAAAGTTTGAGGTGACATATCAGAGTCTCCATGTCAGAATCTTAGTCCCAGTCCCAAGATCTAGCCCGGAATCTGAAACTCCGGAGACTCCAGTGCGGGTTTCAGAGTCTGAATCTCAAAGCCTCCGAGTTGGGAAGCCTGGGTCCCCGAAGTCCGAGTCTCCAGTTCTCGGACTTGCAGATTCCGATCATGACGGTTCAAGGTCTCGAGTTTCTGAAAATCCCGGCGCGCTGCTCCGACTCCGAGAGCCCCATCGACTTCGGACTTCAGGACACGTACCCAACTGACAGATGCGACATTCGTTTTATTCTGAGATAATTTAACCGACTTATGGCGGATGATCGGTCGACTGCTAGGCTATTTTCGTCGCCACTTTCGCGCCATTTCGCACGATGGCACCGGGAATGCAAACTCGATCTCGATCAGAACTCGATCGAGATCCCGTTTCGTTCTGTGACTCGACGGCGACCGACTGGTGGGCGTCGCTGGCCTGTGAGCCGCCGCCGCGGCCGACGGCTGGCAGCCGGATAACGCCAGGCGTGGTGATGGAGAGAGCCGTGCCCTGAGAGAGCACCGGCCTTACCGGAGCGGCGGGGGTCACAGGCCCACAACGGCGTCGGTACCACAGTCTGTACTGGTATCGGTACCACCCACGTGGGGGTGTTTTAGTGTTTATGTTGAATTTCCCGATAACAGGAACCAC